ATTCTTAAACTGAGTGTTCGTTTTCATATTCTACCAGGATCGAAAATTTCCAGCCATAAAAACATTTATCAATAATTTTGTTCCTCGTGTTCATTTGTGGTAATTTTCCGGATATTATATTCTGTGCCAAATTTATTAGAATTAGTTTGGTTTTTGTTTTAGTTGTATGCGATGCAATAAATGAAAGATGGCCACCTGCAGCTCGAGCCTTTTTATTTCCCCCTCTGATAGGCGAAACCACCCAATACAACAACATTATACTAGTATATTACAATGCACACATTCATGGACTTCACGTCAATGACGTGTGTAGATGAAATAATACGCAGCATCCTCGATACGCTTAGAATATGTCATACCAAAATTGAAGGCACGCGGATATCTCTAGTGGTTATTTTCAGTCACTTTGAACGCTGAATACCGGAACATTTTTGAGGAGACGATGTTCAAGCTTGCCCAAGATCTTGAGAGCATGAGACTCCAAGTTAACATATATTCAAATTATTGCACCTATCTTCAAATAATTGAAGATACACTGTATGTACAATTGATTGCAGATATGTTCAATTCAATTGAAGGTAGGTGCAATTCAATTGAAGATAGGCTCAATTCAATTATAGATGGTTCAAATATGACGAAGTGAATCTTTCATCAATAGGATTGTACCTATCTCCAATTGAATTGAACCCATTTTCAATTGAAGTGTACCTATTTCCAATTATTTGAAGAAATATACAATTAATTGAATATATATTAATTTGGCGTGCCATATAAGAGTTACAACATAAAAACTTAACATCACTTTAATTCAATTTCTGCAGTATACACTGTCGGAATGCGAGCATTATTATGACATAATTATTAAAACGTTATTTACAAGGATTGTTTTGAAGATTTCAAATCGTTTATAAACGAGGCAAGTCCGTATCCTGATCATTAACCAATTTTTATTTTCATTTACATGAAGCTACTAGTATTTTTTTAGGAATACTGTCCTAATACATTTAACCAGTTTAACGTTTTGTCCAGTGACTGATACATTCTTCAATGTAATTCATTCGTGTTTCGAAATAAGCATGCCGGTCATGTGGAAGCTGGTAAGAAATAATAGAAGCCAATTGATGAAGAAGCGTCTGCAAATTCTACATATATTTCAAGTACAGGAGGGTGTTAATGATCAACAATTAGTGTCCTTTGACATCAGTTACGATGAAAGTGAAGTGTAATGACTAAGTAATGTAGTCATGGCAAAACACAGAAAATGTCACTATACAATCAATATTCGGTGTTCCATCGATAGTTTGATACGTATTTTGAATTTCTGTTAAGGGTGACCGTGACTTGTTATCTATTCATGTAGTGCATCGATGCCCTCAGCTGTATTGTTTATTGGACATTTCTCATTTTGAGGCAGACCTACCACGGAGCCAGAGACGGACACTGAAAGAAGTAAAATCAGGGATCATCTCAAAATTATTTTTCATTTCATCTGTATTAAGATTTTTGTCCGCTGCTTGCAACAAAACACTAGCGAACGATCTTTTAGTGCTCCTTACCTGCAGTAACATCCCCTGATTTTCATTACATGTACAACTGATAAACTTCTCTTGGCTGATCTCACCTTACTGATTTTTTTCTTTCAGAAAAGATTTTTTTTTAAATCATGGTTAATACTGAAAACAAAGACTCGGTGCATGCTAGAGTTGATTGCAGTAGTACAGAAATCCTAAAAATTCACTCACTGAACTGATCCCTAGAACCGTCTTCTAAGAATAGCATACAATTATTATGCACCTACCCATATTTAAATATTTTGGTTGTGTTGCATGAAGAAAAATCCATGTAAGCTGTCGATCTGAAATAAGTCGAAAATAGCCGAAAATTGCATAAATTTCTACTTTTCTTCTCTTTTTAAGGAGAATAAACAAGAATATATGTCAATACAGAAAACCACTTCTATTACGCAATCATGTTACGGTCGCGGAGGAATATTCATAAACGTTACTTTATCACGAAGGGATGCTAATAAACGTCCTATTGTCCAACACCCTCTATACAAAAATGCAAAGGAATGAAGTGGAGAAAATGTGTGGAACAAGGACCTTCAGCATAACGCTATTATAAAAAGGCACCGTGTAAGCGTTAAACATTTATTACGTAATATAGACATATCGTGTCCAAAGAGGTTTGTGGATGGTAAATTTAATCTGAAAATGTGATCCGTCACTCTGGTAAAAAACAAACTTCTTCCAACTGATTGTTTTGGCTCGAGGAATTTCTTTTAACTCAATCGGTGTCAGAAAAATACAACAGACGTCCCGGGTGAGATCCTAAATGGAGATATTGAAATATCAATTACCACGGTCACATACAACTGCACCTGTCCTATTGGGCCACGAAAAAAACTATAACGACTGTGGCTATCGGTTACATAATGTCTTACCTGATCGCTTACACACTCTGACATACCCTATACGCTACGTTCAATATGAAAGTTATTTTTGAAATGACCCCTGTATTTACTTCTCTGGGTCTCTGTCTCCAGGCTCCGTGCTATGTCTACCCCAAAATGAGAAAGGTCTATTAGATTAGATAGCATTCAAGTGAAAATGAACTGAAATAGTTCCACGAATCGTTAGTAAACATTTTCACAAAACGAAATGATGATCATCAAACTTAAATAGTTCCACGAATCGATAGTAAACATTTTCACAAAATGTAATGATGATAATGCAAATTCAATAGCTCCACGAATCGATAATTTACATTTTCACAAATCGTAAAAAGGTAATTTTTAGCAAATAGACATACTCATTCAAGTGAAAATGAAACAGAAATAGTTCAACGAATCGTTAGTAAACATTTTCACATAACGAAATGATGATCATCAAACTTAAATAGTTCCACGAATCGATAGTAAACATTTTCACAAAATGTAATGATGATAATGAAAATTCAATAGTTCCACGAATCGATAATTTACATTTTCACAAATCGTAAAAAGGTAATTTTTAGCAAATAGACATACTCATGTGACCACAGTATTGCTCTGTTTCTCCGTTAGCTCTGATAACGAATTATGAAATACTGAATAGTTGGATGAATGATAATATATTTGTGATGTCAAATGATATCTACAACTGTTTCATCTTATATAAAAACTCGAATGCATTGTAAAGATTAAACATCATGCATCTTTTTAAAACTTTTAAAACGTTAGTCTTTTTTAATAGAACATTTATCATAACAACAGATCGAGATCCTTTCAGTACCAAGGGAGACGACACCATTTTCTGTGAAAATATATAAATACAAACGATTAGAAATTTGAGTACTCGAATTCTGTTTAACAGAATAACAAATGCAATAATGGGGTGACTGATTGAGGATATCTAAATAATTATCTTATCTCGTTAGTTTGATTAAGAGCTTAAATGGAAATTCAAATCGGTTACTTCCTAGCCCATTTAGGTAATAGAATTGCTAACTTCTTGTTATTTGAAAGATTATTTTTTTTATAAAAATCTTTAAAACATCTGATAGCTTAAATTTACCTGTAACATGTATAACTCGGCTATAACAAATGACACAAGTATAGGGTTAATATACTTTGTACGTGTAAGTGACGATGTATATTTGATTTGTTGTTGGCTTGTGTGCAGTTAACTAATGTTTTGGAAATGAACTCTGTATACTGTAAGATGGACTTATAGATAAACAGTTAGTAATGTCGTTATAACGATATATTAAGTCGTTGTTACGATACAATATCTAGTTTTAACGCGATACTAGGTCGTTATAACTAGATACTAGCTCGATATAACGAGATGCCAAGTTGTAATAGCGAGCTAAAAACAATTAGTTGTCCTCAATCAACCACCGTACAATAAATATTCCTAATACATGTTTTTTTGTCATGTCGCAAATTCTGATTTTGAAATGTTTCTTAACCAATGATCAGGATACATTGCTGTTTGTACTCTACATTGAAATCTGCCTGTCTAGCAATAGGACCTAAAACATCTGGAGGATTTTTTTCGTCTTCGTGAAATGTATAAATAAAACTGTATTGTTCATTGAAGTTATTTCATGAACCTTTTCTCTACACATGAAACTGTCGATTTACCTGTCAAGATCAATGTATGTTGACCATCCTGGTATAAAAACCGAAGACGTACAAGAAAACAACATATAATAACTTGTACTGTTGTTTTTCCTTGATCAAGATTATCAAATTTGAAAATAAATAAAGACTTGACGGACACAAATATAATTTCATTCTAAGGGTCTGTAATAATGTAGCATGTAAATTGGAGAACACGCAGCAATTTCTTCATAATAAATCAGCCAGAATTAGTCCATCCACAGAATCAGAATGATGGCAGGTGATTAGATCGTGAAAAGGGAACGACCGAAACAAGACCGTAGATAAAAAAAAAAAAAATATCGACAGTTTTGATTCAGCGTTGTATCCCTTGAAACATAATGGGCTTGATCCAACTATGATATGATGGTGGTAAGTCAACTGCAGTACCTGATGGGGAAAGGACTTTCGTCACGTACACAAACATAGTAGCATCCCGAACAGCAAAAAAAGTGGTTGCAAAGATTCACCGTTCGGGAATTGGCTACGATCAATCCGAAATAGCTGTAACAAACTAGACTTCTAATATTCCTTTTTAACTAGATAATTATCTCTCCTAAAATACATATACTTATCAATGAGTCTATAATGTAATACTCTGCATATTGTGCATAACGTTGTGCATTAATCAATAGCTTTTTGACGAGTATCTCATCGTCCGTCATTAAACTAGAAAAGTCCAGATCAACGATCTACTGATAGTAGAGTGTGTATTCCCGTGCCTTGCCATTCTCGTCCCGGATGTAGACACGGTGGTTTTTGTTGTACAGTATATGAGGTCCAGCTAGGGGAAATCTGGAAAACCTGGAAATCTGGAAAACCCTGCCCGCGTAATCATGAAAGAAGTATTGTATTTAAAGTGAAACAACATCTGTTTATATACCAACGTCAACAGCATATGTTGACATTTAAAGCTCACACATTTACAGTTAAGAACCAACTTGGTACATATCAACATCATACATACATCGTCTGATCTAGCCGCTGAAAGATGGCAGGTATGTGAATATGTTCATTTTATTCGAAATAATTAACTTTAAAAAGGATAAGCACACATGACAGATAAGAATACTCGATTTGTTCAACCAGACAACAATCCATTATGACAAACGTTGCCGCACAATTTGGATATTATATTCCGAATAATGAATTCAAATTTCTTTCGTTTGTTTAGACTCCAGATTAACGAAGTATGTTGTATATTTCTGTACGCCCATTCAGGACTATAAGTGTTTAGATATTATTTATTGTTGTTTATTTAATTAACAATCTTATCTTCATGACCTTGTATGGAATACATGTTATAGATTTTGGAGATGGTGGGTCGGAAGTTAATTCGTAAAATGAAATGTTTTAAACATCAGTTTTTTAAAGTATGAACTTTGCTAGGGAGCACATAACTTTTTATAAATAGGTATTTCTCAAGTTTAAGTAGTAGGCTATGTACTGGGGAGCACAGGTATATTGTAAAGTATAGTATGCGCTAGCTAGGGAGTAATAAAAAATATTATTGAAACGTTTAACTAATAACGGGCTTACTCTTTAATATTCTCTTTCTATTAATCTCGATGTCTGACGATCTTATGCTTTTTCAAAAGACCCTGGTGCATTTAAAACTGAATTCTGTTGAAAAGGATCCGGGCGCATTTGAAAATGAGTCAGTCTATTTGTTGACTCCTTAATTTGTAAATGGTTATTGTCTGTTGTAGTTTTTCATTCCAACACCTTGGTAAGACATGAGGCCCTCTGGGCCTTTTTCGCTCACATGGAAATGTTGGCAAAATTGAAGTTGAAATAGCTAGATGTTGCTAATAGTGTACATGTATCACATGGTTAGTCAGGGGTTAGATTAATATGCAATTGGACAAAATCCGGTCATTCCTACAGAAGAATAAGCATTTTGAAGAATTTGCTATGTTTCCCCTAATGGGCCCCGACTCTCTGCCCCCAGGGGGTTTCAGACCCCAGACCAACCATTTACACAAAATTAATTTCCCTTCCCAATAGAATGCATCTGTTTAAATTTGGTAAAAATACCTTCATCCAAACGAAAGAAGAAGGATATTGAAGCTATTCCTCTATATACCTATAGGGCCCTACCCATCTGCCCCAGAGAGGTCAGACCCATCGTTTATAAATATATTGGTTCCCTTTAACCCAAGGGTGCTTCATACCAAATTTGGACAAAATCCTGTCATTTCTACAGAAGAAGAAGGATTTTGAAAAAAATGCTAAATAACCACTATTGGGCCCAACCCCTCAGGCCCCAGGGGGTCAGGCCCAACATTTATACAAGTTGGTTCCACTTTACCCGAGGATGCTTCGTACCAAATTTGTACAAAATCCTGTCATTCCTACAGAAGAAGAAGGATTTTGAAGAATTTGCTGTGTTTTCACTATTTGGCCCTGTACCACTGTCCCCAGGGGGCCACACTCACTGTTTATACACAATTGAGTGCCCTTGGACCAAAGTTGCTCTAGACTAAATAAGGATAAAATCCTTACGTCCCTATGGTATAAGAAGCATTTTAAAGGTTTTACCTCTAATTCCCCTATTTGGCCCTACCCCTGTGCCCCAAGGGGGACCACACCCATCGTTTATACAGAATTGAGTCCCCTTAGCCCAAGGATACTCCACACTAAATAAGGATAAAATTCCTTAATCCCTATGGCTATGTTAGACACAGGGTTTTAAACGTTTTACCTCTATTTCCCCTGTTTGGTCCCGCCCCTCTGCCCCCAGGTGGGGCACATCCATTGTTTATATAAAATTGAGTCCCCTTCCCCCAAGGATGCTCTAGACTAAATAAGGATACAATCCCTTAATCCCTACGGTAGAAGAAGGATTTTATTAAAGGTTTTACTTCTATTTCCCATATTTGGTCCCGCCCCTGCCACAACCATGGTTTATACAAAATTGAGTCCCTTGGCCTAAGGATGCTCTAGACCAAATTTAGTCAAAATCTACTTGGCCGTTCAGGACAAGTAGCGTTTTATAGGAAAAGTTGACGGACGGACGACGGTCGACGGACGCTGCGATATGACATAAGCTCAGGTGAGCTAAAAACTAAAGTGGTTACATTTTTGGAAATAAACGTCGCTTAAATATGATTATATAGAGCGTGTTCTTTCTAAAGATATAAAACCAAACCCTTCTTTTAGGGTATTAGGTATCGAACACATAACACCCGATACACCCACTTTAGTCCAGGAAAGTCACAACAGAAACACACGCACCGCAACAGCAGGAAAATACCGTATACCAAAACACAAAACAGAACTTTCCAAGCGGTCATTTTTATATCAAGGACCACATCTTAGGAACAGCCTATCCACTCAAACCAAATCCTCCAAATCACTTGCAGTATTTAAAACCAACTGCAGAAACGATTTTAAACTACTGGTATAAAGCAACAACAAAAAACCTCTCTTTCGGCATGATCTGGACATTACGACTTTCCCAATAAGCAATATACTACGATATGAAATTATGTTTCAGCAGCGTGTGTTACTATAACAGTATGGTTGACATATGTGTTGTAATGAAATGTAGTTATATAATTAATTACTCAATTGAAAAGCAGTATAGCTTTATATATGTATACAATATATCTTTATAATGTATGTGTTTTGCATTATCTCTTATATTTGTTAAGTATTATCCATGTTGTACATATTTGTATATATGTTCTCGGTCATGTGTGAGAAGAGTCTGTGACTCAACATGTTATCATCGAGTATAAATAAAGTCTAAAGTCTATTATTATATGTAAGTTATATAAAGAAAATTAATTTTTCAAATGTATATCAACATTGTATACAAAGGTAACAATTAAAAATCATCTACTAAAAGGACATTTGGTTTCAGATAGTAAAAAACGAAAAAGGAGTCTGGACGACATCAAACCCAGAAAGAAAAAAAAAGAAACAAAGACTCTGAAGGACCACGCAAGTGAGAAGAAAGAAACAAAGACTCTGTACCACCACACAACTAGGGAAGCAGCTCGGCAAATATTGAAAACAGGTCAAATAAAGGAATCGACTGATAGGGAAAAGGATGCCGCATATGGTCCAGGTACCTACTTGACCGGTTTGGGTCCAGGTAGAAGCCGGAGCGAAATAGCGAGGAATAACTTCGACGGATACAAAAATCGTTTAGCAGATCAAAAGATGAAGGAGGGCAAGACGGAAGTGGCTATAGCAGTTGACGTACCCAAAAATCAGTTTTTCAAGGCGAAGTCGGATCGTAACATTTATGTTGCAAAGGGAGATGTCTCAATTGAAGACAAGAATCCCAGTGTTTATGTCCGAGATAAAAGCGGAAAGGCTAGGTTGTACAAACCCAAAAAGTAACCTTATCCCTCACTGCTCTTAATGAAGTATTTCTTATGCATTTTGAAATACATGATTCATTATGATTCGCAACTTTTAAATTCGTGTCGTAATAATTACAAATATTTCCTTTCAAAGTATTTCATTTCTTTAATAAAATATATCCCTGAACTTGAGGAGTAGTCATTGTTATTACTGATTATGTACGTATACTAGTATATCACAATGCACGTATACATGGACTTCACATCAATGACCTTTGAAGATGAAATAATATGCCGACAGCATCCTCGATACTCCACGGGTTAAGGTCACTTTCGCTCTCTTCACCCCTGGAATATGTCATAACAAAATTGAAGGCACACGAATAGCTATCTGATTGGTCTCAGGTAAAATAATTGACTAATCACTAATATGAACCCTTCCCTTTGAAGATTACAGAGGAGCGACACCCGCCTTCAAAACCAGCCGATCTATTATTAATTTTATATGATTTTTTTCATATTATCATTTATGATTGAAGTTAATAGAACACATCACAAAGGACTAAGGGTTCACAACGTGTCCAGTTATACGCCAAAAAGATGTACCTGTTGTGATTTCTTAAAACTGTGTTGTCTGCTTTTTGGAAAAACCCTGACATGTTGATTACGTGTCACTATTCTGGTTTCAAGTTTTCCTAAAAATCTGCTAAGTGGAAAAACCCCTATCCTGCAGATGTAATCTTATTTAAAGAGGAAGTACATTTATTTGTACACCAACGTCCTCAACAAAGAGATTTACATATCAGAAGACCACGTACTCCACACTGCTAAATATAAATCCAGTGTATCTCCTTATCAAGCCAACAGCATATAACAGGAAATAGACAATCAAGAACAAGGAGTGTAATCCGTTAAACATCGAAAAGAAATATATCATGAAAACAATTGTAAACAAGTAAAACTTAAACGTATGTTTCGAATTAAATCTAAACACATATGTGGAGCACAGCGATACCAACCTGTTGATTGTGTATGAATTTAATTTAATTCAAAATACCAATAAACGTGCGTGCAAAATCGAACATAAATATTGTTTGACAGAGTCACTAGTGTTGCTGATTATACTAAAACTAGTTTATGAATGTTTAAATCAATATGATGGGGTACGAGTTCAACAACTTTTGATATATCTACAGCAATATAAATAGCTTATTGTGCAGTGCTTGATATCATTTGTTTTTAGGGTTATCTTGTGGCGTAAAAAGATGACTAATAATATTAAACAACCTATTTGTGAAAAGCAGAATGTCGATGCCAAGAGGCAATAATGTAGTTAACATACAAGCATGTGACTAGTTATTCAAAACTACTACTTCTTAAGTGAAGAACTGTCGATCAACTAGTTTATGTGAAGAACTGGATCAACAACGTTATACAAAAGAGTACTGTTGCCATATTTAGTGTAGGACATTACTAGAAGAAACAAAGTGACACCGAGACGCGGGATATTCTATCATCGTTTTAATACCTTTTATATCGAACCGCCATAGAGAACTTGTTGAATTGCTGTTTATATTAGTGAGTTTGAATGTTTTAGCTTGTCCTTATTGATTTAATCACTTTTAATTATAATATTACGAATCAGGACAAAAAGAGGACACGTGTAAGGAAATTATAACTTTGTAAATACTAGATTGATAATGCGAGAGGGTGAGGAACCTTTTGTGAGAGTTGATGTGAGAAGCGATTTGATTGGTAGAGAACGATCATGTGATCATGTGAGAAAGGTATAAAAGGGAGCACGAAAGACGTTCATGTCAGACAATCTTGTGTCTTTGGCAACGACAATACTATTTTTAAACCTTCACTACTGTGGCAACGCTTTATCCAAGGGAGTTAACTTCTACTTCTAGGGAGATAACTTCTACTCTTAGGTATGTAAATAGTTATTTACTGTTAAAATAGATTAGTAGTACTAACTGTAGTACTAGGCTTATACTGTACTACCGTTACCATAATGATATAGTGCAAAGTAACTTCTACAGATATTGTATCAAATATTCAGCCTATTTTCTTGTTAAACGACACAAGTTATTCTATATTTAAGTTTTATGCAGTACATTATTGTTTCCCACCACACTGACCTCTGACAGTATGAGAGCATGAGGTTTGAGTTGCAGCACCCATGTACATATATATGATTGACAACATGATATATAATAAAAACATGTCAACTGCTTTTATTGTGTTTATGAAGTAACTGTTATTAATGACCACAGAAGACCAAAGACAGGCCTGTTACAATACTAAATCTAACATAAATATTGTTTGACTGAGTCACTAGTGTTGCTGATTTTACTAAAACTAGTTTATGAATGTTAATATCAATATGAGGGGGTACGAGTTCAACAACTTTTGATATATTTACAACAATATACATAGCTTATTGTGCAGTGCTTGATATAATTTGTTTTGTAGGTTGACCTAGTTACGTTAAAAGATGACTAATAATATTAAACAATGTTTTTGTGAAAAGCAGTAAGTCGATGCCTAGAAGCAATAATTCTTCACTTTGTTTTCTTAGTGATTGTTTAACTTTACACGGTTCTTGTCACTGTAACGGTGTACGGGTAGCAGTAACCTACATCGGTTTAATATTTCTTTTTCAATGCGTGGTTCCTTATTTCGTATCTCTAGTGGTTATTTTCAGTCACATTCAACATTGAATATCAGACATATTTTTTAGGAGACAATGTTCAAGGTTGATCAATAACTTTAGAGTTACAACATTAAATCTTCACATTACATTAATTCCATTTTGCAGAATACATTGTCAGAATGCGACCCTTATCATTAATTATAAGGATTCTTTTGAAGATTTGGATTCCATTATAAACGATGCAAGTCCGTAAACTGGTCATTAACCCGCATTAGGAAAAAGTACCAAACTGAAGCACTATTAGTACACTATATAAATGATAAATTGAACAAATGATTGTACTTGTGTTTTAATGTGACAATTAATTGGACAAACTCTATATTAAAGTCAAGAATATTATTCAGCACATCGTTTTGTTGTTACAACTACATTATATAGTATGGTTGCACATCCCTAAACGCTCGTAAAATATTACTTGAATACAAATCATCTGTGATTCCCTGCCCCAATCAGCCTTGAAAATAATATAGGATGAAATAGTACATTTGTTCTATTTTCAATTAATAAGGAAAACCCTTACCACGTAATCATGAAAGAAGAAACGGCCTATTTAAAGCGATGCATATAAAAAAAAAATCCAGGTAAACCCTCATCTGTCATTACGTAGTACTGGTCGTACATGTGTTGTGTTTCCAGGTAAACCCTGCCCACGTAATCATAGATTAACAGTTAAAGCTCACAATTTACAGTCAAGAGACGACTTGGTACATATCAACATCATACATACATCTTCTGATCTAGCCGCCGAAAGATGGCAGGTATGTATTGTAAAGATTAAACATCATACATCTTTTTAAATGTTTAATACGGTAGTCTGTTTTAATAGGACATTTATAATAACAACAGATCGAGGTGGTCAATATCGATCATCTAGATATTTAAGCAATTATGTAAAATATTTCCAAACGCAATAGTTTTGTAATTTGCTAGTTCAGCCTTTCGGTACCAAGGGAGACTAACTATTGTTTGTGAAAATATATAAATACAAACGATAAGAAGTTTTAGTACTCAAATTCTGTTTAATAGAATAGCAAATGCAATAATACGTTGACTGATTGAGGATATTTAAATAATTATTTTATCTCGTTAGTTTGATGAAGAGCTTCAATAGAAATTCACATTGGTTACTTACTTTAGGTTAATAGAACTGCTAACTTCGTGTTATTTGAAAGAATTGAATTCGTGTTTTTATAAATACCTTTTAAAGCATCTGATAAGCTTAAATTTACCTGTAACATGTATAACTCGGCTATAACAAATGACACAAGCATAGGGTTAATATACGTTGTACGTGTAAGTGACGATGTAAGTTTAATTTATTCGTTGTTGGCTTGTATGCAGTTAACTAATACTTTGGAAATGAACTATGTATACTGTAAGATGAACTTATAGATAAATAGATAGCAATGTCGTTGTAACGAGATATTAAGTCGTTGTTACGAGACAATATCTAGTTTTAACGCGATACCTGTTCGTTATAACTAGATACTAGCTCGATTTAACGGGATGCTAAGTCGTTACAACCAGCTAAATATTTTTTAGTTGTTCTCAATTAACCACCGTACATTAAATATTCCTTATACATGTTTTTTTTTGTCATGTCGCAAATTCTGATTTTGAAATGTTTCTTAACCAATGATCAGCATACATTGCTGTTTGTAGTCTACATTGCCTTTCTAGCAATAGGACCTAAAACATCTGATTTTTTTTTCGTCTTCGTGAAATGTATGAATAGAATTGTATTGTTCATTGAAGTTATTCTATAAAACGTTTCTCTACACATAAAACTGCCGATTTACCTGTCAAGATCAATGTATGTTGACCATCTTGGTATAAAAACCGAAGACATACAAGAAAATAATTTGTACTGTTGTTTCGTTGATTAAGATTATCAAATTTGGGGGAGAAAAAAATTGACGGTCACAATTTCATTCTAAGGGTCTGTAATAATGTAGCATTTAAATTGGAGAACATGCAGCAATTTTTTCATAATAAATCAGCCAGAATTAGTCCATTCACAGAATCAGAATGATGGCAGGTGATTAGTTCGTGAAGAAGGAATGACCGAAACACGACCGTAGATAAAAAAAAATTAGCAAAAGTTTTGATTCAGCGTTGTACCCCTTGAAACTTTATGGACTTGGTCCAACTATAATATGATGGTGTTAAGTCAACTGCAGTACCTGATGGGGAAACGACTTTTGTCACGATCACAAACATAGTTGCATCCCGAACAACACAAAGGTGGTTGCAAAGATTAATCGTTCGGAGATTGGCTACGATCAATCCGAAATAGCTGTAACAAACTAGACTTCTAATAGTTAGTTTTTAAACTAGATAATAATCTCTTCTAAATTACATATACTTATCAATGAGTCTATAATGTAATACTCTGCATATTGTGCATAACGTTGTGCATTAATCAATAGCTTTTTGACGAGTATTTCATCGTCCGTCATTAAGCCAAAAAAGT